CCGTCGGCCCAGCTTTGCTGTGCCCCATCCCGGGGGTCAGTCCTGGCGGTGGGGCTGGAAGTGGGGGGGATGCGGATGACCCGCCGGGACTGTGATGGTGGGGTGAGTTTCTTTGATCGGAAACATGCCCGGACACTTTCGCAGGGAGTGTGGGAATGTGGGAACGGAACCAAGCCGGGCTGTCGCAACCTCCCGAAGGGCGTGTGATAGGCAACACCGTCCGCAGGGCAGACGGGGGCTGTGTCCTCCCAGACCCCTCCTGCAATGCTCCTTTGCCCCGTCGCCGCTTGGGCACGGGCAGAAACTGCTCCTTCCCCCAGTGCCTCCTCCATCCCCAGTGCCCCCCTCCGAGGAGACGGTCCCTCCCCACGGGACGAGGGAGATGTTACCTGCTCGCCTTCGTACTCGCAGAGAGCCTCCACGGGGACGGGCTGGAGCGGCATCTCCCGGCGGTACCGCAGGGGCAGGACTTGCTGGCTGCGCTCCTGCAGGGACTTCACCACCGCCTCGTACTTGTCCAAGGCCTTCTCCTGGTCCTAGCACAGGGTAATGACCAAAATCAGTAGGGAAATGTGGGAAGAATGAGCTCCTGGGCTTGTACCAACACTGCTGGGACAGAAGCCACAGCTTCTCTTTTGCTTTTGCTAGTGAAAACATCTCCTGGGTCCTGCTCTGCAGCCGTTGTGTTCCCACACCAAGTGCTCCTGCACTCTCCTGCCTACTTTTGTGGTCAGGCTGAGGACCAGGACCATGTCCGTAATAGGCCCTCCCTGGTGTATGGTCCGCATCTGTGTGGCATCATAGAATCACAGAACGGTTTGGGTTGGAAGGGACCTTCAGGATCATCCAGTTCCAACCCCCCTGCCATGGGCAGGGACACCTTCCACTACACCAGGTTGCTCAAAGCCTCATCCAACCTGGCCTTGAACACTTCCAGGGATGGGGCAGCCACAGCTTCTCTGGGCAACCTGTGCCAGTGCCTCACCACCCTCACAGGGAAGAATTTCTTCCTTAGATCTCATCGAAACCTCCCCTCTTTCAGTTCAAAGCCATTGCCCCCGTGTCCTGTCACTACACGCCCTTGTCCAAAGTTGATGGACAGCCCCGTTCTCAGCTATTAGCTCTAATTAGAGCCCCATGAAGAGGCTCTCCATCAGTAGATCTATCTCTAGATGTGCAGGTGGGTACCCATCCCATAACACTGAGTGGGATGGAGCACACAGGAGGAGAGTGACAGCTCTCGGGAGAAGCTATCAGCTGTCCCAGAACACGTGCATCAGCTGGGCCTGCTGCAGCACGCCGGGGCTGGGGCCGGGCCAGCGCCTCGGCTCAGCACAGCCCTTCCCAAGTGGGCGATCCCACCGCTCTCAGCAGCACAGCGAGTTCCACAACCTCCTCTGGCAGCAGGTCTAATTATGCTCCCGCCCTTAATGAGCGCTAACTCAATGAGAGAACAAATAAAAACCAGCCCAGTGAGCAATTCCGTTGCCATGGGAGAGGCGATCTCTAGCTAGAGGGGATGGAAGAGTCGAGTGAAGGCTGGGCACAGGGAGGTGGAAGCACCGTCCTCCTGCTCGCCGTGCTGAAAGCTGGGCTAGATGCCTGCTCCAGCAGGGATGTCCCTCCCTCGGTGTTGGAGGGGCAATGGCTCCTGCCGCAACTCCGGCCCTGCCTGCACCAATACTCACATCCAGCTCCCGGAGGAGAGACTCCAGCTGGTATCTGTCCTTGAACTCTGGGCTGAATTTTTGGTCCAGGTCTGTATCCACCTTCTTCAAGAGGTCCTGGGCATCCTTAGTGTCCCTCTGAAACTGCAGAAAGGCAAAGTCTCCTGTGAGAGAGGGTACTGCTGAAGCATGGAGAGACCCACCCTAGCACCCTGGTCCTCATGCTGCCTAGAGCAGGGACAGCCAGGAGCTGTGATGGGCATCTGGACACCAAGAAGTCCATGGAGAAAGGTGAGGAATTGCTATTTCCCATGCTCAGGCCAGCAGAGCTAGTGGAAAGACAACCAGGGGCAGCTTATTCCATGGTGTTCTCCTGTGGAGTTGTAGAATCCCACCTCTCCCTGCCCTCAATTTTGTTTCCCTTAGACAGCATCATGACGGTGCGTGGTGTCACCACTGCCAGCACAGAGGAGAAGGCAGAGCCAGGCCCTTCCACACACAAACCACCCCCTGGGGCAGTCATTCTGGCAGATGCCCACAAAAGGCCCTGCCTGGGCTGGGCACC